CACCCGTGTATCACCCATCCACCCACCTACCCATGTATCATCCATCCACCCACCCCCCACTTGCCTATCCACCTGCTCATCCATCTGTCTCCTTATCCATCCATCTACTCCCCCATCTATCCACCCACCTACCCAACCGTACCTCCATTGAGCCTGAGGCAGGCCTGGGGTCTGGTCACACCCCTGTTCCTGCTGTTGGTAAGGAGCAGGAGTTGGTGGGGAATCAGGGGGTTTAGTGGTACTGAAGCCTCAGTACAACCCCCAAGGGCTGTGGGGTCCTGAGCCTTGCTTCCTTGTGGGAAGTTCCAGATGTTGTTCCCAGGGGTGGATGTGGCCAGGCCAGCTTAGTGCTGGTCTCTGTGGTCCCAGGATTGAGGAAGTCCTCTTAACCATGTCTTATGTTCCTGGCAGTGAGTTTGTTGCCTGGCTCCTGGAAATTGGTGAAATCAGCAAGACGGAAGAAGGCGTGAATTTGGGCCAGGCCCTGCTGGAGAACGGCATTATCCACCATGGTGAGTGGATGTTCTACCCTGGCCGGGCCACGGGGTGGGAAAAGTCAGACCCCAACGGTGCCATGTTTCCACTAACCCAGGGACTGTCTCTGCACTTCTGCGTAGCTGCCCTGTTTCCTGGGCACAGGATGGGTCTTGGGCATGTGGGCGCCCTCATTAGATTGCTTATGGGGTTGGAAAACTCAGCATTCACCTAGAGCACTGGCAAAGCAGGGACTCCTTGAACAGCTGGGAGCTGGGAGTAAAATTTTCTATCTATTCCTTCAAGTAAAGGCAAGAACCATTTGTTTAAGTCTTAGTCATTCAACGAACATTTCTTGAGTGGCAGGCACTGTTCACATAGCAATGAATGGGACATGTGCCATCCCTTCCTCAGGGAGCTGACCTTGTTTTTGGAGGGGAGATAATGACACACGCGTGTGCAGCAGGTGATCGGTGCCTGGGAGAGAGAGGAGGCAGGGTAGGACAGAGTGCAGGTGGCGGGGCTCACTCTTGAGAAGGGAGCTGAGAAGACCTCACTAAGAAGATGGTGTGGGAACCAGGACCTGAGCCTCTGGTGGGGGAGGGAGCCAGGTGGGTTTTCCAGCCAGAGAGAACAGCCAGTGCCAAGTCCCCAGGCAGGAGTCCAAGTGGTTTGTTCAGGGAATAGCAGGGTTGGGAGTGTTAGGAGTCGAGGTCAGAGAGCACAGTGCTGATAGGGACTGTTGAGGAGGTGAGATCAGGACCCTGGGGTGGCTCGTAGGGTCTTTGGCTTTACCCTGAGTGAGATGTGAAGCCCTTGCTGAGGTCTGCATAGAGCAGAACTAATAATAATGTTCAGACTTTCATTTTAACAGGGTCCCTCTGGCGCCTTGCAGAGAGTGACCTGATGGGACTAAGGGGGCCTCAGGGAGCCCAGAGAGGAGGCAAAAACCAGGCGCAGTGGCTCATGCCTGTAATTCCAGCACTTTGGGAGGCCAAGGCGGGAGAATCACTTGAGCCCAGGAGTACGAGACCAGTCTGGACAATATAGTAGACCTTGTCTCTACAAAAAATACAAAAATTAGTTGGGCATGGTGGCACGTACCTGTAGTCCAAGATCCTTGGGAGGCTGAGATGGGAGGATCATCTGAACCCAGGAGGTCAAAGTGCAGTGAGCTGTGATCATGCCATTGCACTCCAACCTGGGTGACAGAATAAGACCCTGACTCAAAAAACCCCCACGAAAAACAAAAGCAAGAAAAAGAAAAGAAAACCCAACAAAACAAAATAGTCCAGGTAGGAAATGAAGGTGGCTCAGACCAGGGTGGGAGAGTGGGAGTCAGGTTATTGATATCTTAGCGGTCAGGGCCTTACCGACGGGTCTGAAGCATCAAGGGTGACCTTTAAGGCTGTTGCATAGAGATGGTTCCTTAAATCTCAGCAGAGTGGCCTCGGACCCTATGCCCTGGGTCCCCCTCCCCCCAATCCTTGGTGCACTAGATCCAAGACATGCCGAGTCAGGTGGGTCAGGGGCATTTCTGGTCTCCCACCCTCGTGGGGACCCCATCCTAAGCTGTGGGTCTCAGCAGGGCCCTGCCTGCAGTAGGAAGACTTAGTTTCCTCATCTGCATAATGGGAAAGTGATAGCACCTACCTCATCAGAGCATGGGCGGTGGGGGGGGTCCAGTGTGGAGGCTGGTGCTGGTAGGCGTGGTCCAGAGGGGCGTGGTCCAGAGGGCCGAGGGCACATAGTCAGCTCACAGGCTCCTGTCCCTCCAGTTTCTGACAAGCACCAGTTCAAGAACGAGCAGGTGATGTATCGCTTCCGTTATGACGACGGCACCTACAAGGCCCGCAGTGAGCTGGAAGACATCATGTCCAAGGTAGGCTCTCTGCCGTGACCCGTGGCCCTGGCCCAGCTGGCCCATTCAGTCCACCCTGAGAACACCCGGAGCAGGCCTGGGCCCCGGCGGCCTGTTCTCCTCCCCCCCACCCCCCACCCCATCACCGTGCTCTGTCCTGGGAGCCATCTCTCCCGGCATATGGCCTGATCCTGGAATCCCCGTTTTTCTTTCAGGGTGTGAGGCTTTACTGCCGTCTTCACAGCCTCTACACCCCAGTGATCAAGTAAGTGGCTCTTCCAAGCTCCAGTTGCACCCCTGCCTCTTCTCACCTGTGTGGCCTTGGGCCAGCGACTTAACCTCTCTGAGCCTCAGTCTCCCTCTTCAAATGGGCCTAGTAATGGCACCTCCCCTGTGGGTTTGTTATTAGGATTAAGTGAGTTCATTTGTGGGAAGTACCGCAGTTCTGGAGCCAGATAGATTGAGCTTTCATCTGTGAACTGTGTGACCCTGGGCAAGTTATTTAACCTCCCAGTGGCTCAACCTTTTCCTCTGTGGAATGGGGATAATAACAGGATCTGCCTTAGGGCCTTTGCACTTGCTGTTCCTCTGCTTAGAATGTTCTCCCTACATATTTTCCTGTTGGCTCCCTCACTTCTTCCAGATGTCACCGTGGGGGGGGGGGTCTTCCCTGACCACCTTTGTAAAGTGTCATCACCCTGGTACTCTGTCCTTCCTCACTTCACTTTGGTTTTCTTCTTATAACTTGTCACCGCTTGACACCTTGATGTATTCATTTGTTGATCCATGTACCATCTTTCTCCCCTGCTGAACTGTACATGCATCGAGGGTGTGGAGTGTCTTCTCTGTCTTGGCCCAGGCCCTGGGCAGCCCTGCGGTGGTGCCGTCCAGTAGGGCTTTAACAGGAATGCTCTGGATCTGTGTGGTCTACCACCATAGCTGCTTTTAATTTAAATTAAAAGGGTTACATATTGGAGGGTGCAGACCTAGGGCAGAGTAGCAGCTGGTAAATGATTGTTGAGTGAATGTTGAAAGGTAATTAACCTCTTTCGCTTCTGTTTCTGCATCTGTGAAATGGGCCGAAAAGTAGCCCCTGCCTCTTGGGTTGTCATGAGGGTTAAGTCCATGGAAGGTACTCTGAGTGCCTCCTGGTCCCGTAAATGCCCACCATGGGTTGTTCTCTTTACCGTGAAGCTCAGGTTGGGAATGGAAGGACAGAAGGTGACCCAGTTCTTATCCCAGCTGCACGTTCCCCCTGCCTTGATGGCCCTTGTCACCTCCGGAAGATGGAGAGAAAAGCCCTTTTCCTGGTGTTTCTTGCCTCGCAGGGGAGGTCAGGCCCTGGGAATGACTTGCATCCCAGACCCGCCTCCCCTGAGCCCGGCTCCTGACTGCTGCTCTTGTGCAAGCCCAGAAAGCATGCGGGGCCTCTACTGTCTGGGGCTCACCGTGGCCTGCCAATTCCTGCAGCCTGAGAAAAGTTCTTCCATCAGATTGTCCTTATCAGCCCTGATGCGGGCTGGCCACATAGCTCGTGTTCGTCAGCTTCAGAGGCTGAGAAGCTGTTGCAGTTTGGTTGCAAGATTAGCTCAGCCCACGGCACAAGGCTCTGCAACAGTGAGGTGCTGTGGCAGGCCAGGGTGTTGGCCACGGGAAGGAACCGTGAGCCTCCCGGCCTCAGCTCTCTGTTCCGTCCTGATAGCTCCCGCCAGCCCCTTGGGGAGCAGAGCTCCTTCCACGGTGGCATAGTTGGCTGCCTTTAAACCCACGAATGTGTCAACAATAAAACAAGAGAAAAAGGAAGGAACTGGGAGTTTTCCCTACTGCTCTGTCAGCATCAACCGTGGTTCCTCAGCCTTGCCACTAGTGATGTTTTGACCAGGATAATTCTCTGTCGTGGGGCTGTCCTGTGTATTGTAGGATGTTAGCAGCATCCCTGGCCTCCACCCCTGAGATGCCAGCGGCACCTCTTGCCCCGGCCCCTCTCCCTGGCATTTGCCAAAACGCCAACGACGTTTCTAGACACGGCTGAATGTTCCTTGGAGGGCAAAATCACCCTAGCTGAGATCCCTGGGCTGGAGAGAGAGAGTTTAGAGCCCTGGAGATTTCTGCCCGTCACTCTGTAGGTACCTAGAGGCTTGGGCTGGAGTGGCCCTGTCCTAGGTCACACTGCAAGTTAGGAGTGGGCTGAGACTCAAACCCTGCCCAGTGCCCAGAGAGCCTGGAGGACCTTGGTGCATCTAGCAGGGCAGGTAGGACCCACCTCCGTCCTCTCGCCCGCTCACCTGCCCACTCACTGTGCCTTGCCCTTCTCTGCAGAGACCGCGATTACCACCTGAAGACCTACAAGTCGGTGCTTCCAGGGAGCAAGCTGGTGGACTGGCTGCTGGTTCAGGTGAGGATTGTTTGGAAGTGTGTGACCAGCATCCCATGGTGTCCTCAGATGGAGTTTTGCCTTGTAAACACATTCTTCTGTTATTTTTAATTGTGGTAAAATATACATAATGTAAAGCTTACCACGTCAGTCATTTTGAGTGGACAGCCCGATGGCATTAAACACATCAAGAACGCTGTGCAGCCATCACCACCACCCATCCATGGGCCGCCTCTAACCTTTCCAAGCCGAGACTCTGTCCCCCTTCAGCACCTCCCCATGCGTGTCCCTCTAGTCCCTGTGAACCACCATCCCACTTTCTGTCTCTGTGAATTTGACTGCTCTCATTAGCCCACGGAGGTGGAATTAGCTGGTGTTTATCTTTTCGTGTCTGGTTTATTTCATTCGGCGTCATGTCCTTAAGGCTCATCCGTGTGGTAGCCTGTGTCAGAATTTCCCTCCGTTTTAAGGCTGAATCGTTTTCCATTGCCTGTGCCATGGTCTTTTTGTGCCGCTGTAACAAAGTGCCCGAGACTGGGTAATTTACAACGAGCAGCAACTCATTTCTCACAGTTCTGGAGGCTGGAAGTCCAAGATCAAGGTGCCAGCGGACTTGGTGTCTGGGGAGGGCTGCTCTCCCCTGCCGAGATGGTGCCTTGTTGCTGCGGTGTCCTCACCGGTGGAAGGGATGGAAGGGGTGGACTTTCTCTGTCAGGCCCATTTATGAGACACCTCGTGGCACTCATGAGGACTCTCTTGACTCAGTCACCTAAGGGCCACACCCTTGAGTCCTGTTGCATTGGGGATCAGGTTCAGCATGAACTTGGGGGGATGAAGACATTCAAACTGTGGCAGTGGGTACACTCTGCTTATCCATCCATCCATCCATCGATGGACATGGGGGGCGCTCCCACGTTGGGGCTTTTGGCCTTAACACTGGCTCGGGAAGGGACTAGTCAATGCTTAGATGAATCAGAGTCCTTTTAACTCTGGGGATAAGGTGGGCATCAGCCCTTAAATGGACAGCTTCTCCTTTATGTCAGTTCTGATCTGCTGGGTGCATCATCCCATTTAATCCCCAACAGCCTGAAGAACATGCAGTTAGTATTCCCATTTCACTGCTGAGGAAACAGGCTTGGGTTATGTAACACAGCCATCGAGATACTCATTGTAAGAGAGTCTGTGTGTGGGGATTGTTATGATGTCTTGATCATCAATAATAACAATAACATTCTGTATTCATGATAGCTGATTTACAGAGTTGACACTACCCTGGGGTGGCAGAGGCCTTGGAAAATCAAGGGCAAATCTGTGAATGAAATAAAAATACAGAAGATGAAGCTCAGAGAGGTCAAGGGCTTGCACAAGGTCACAGCCACTGTAGAGCGGGAGCTTGAACCTGGGACCCAGCCGCAGAATTCAGTCTCTTCACTCCTTCACTTGGTGGTTTCAGAGTCTTTGCCACTTGGACTCCAGGAGGTCCTGGGCTGTGCCATCACCCGGAGGGCAGGTCGGCAGCTGGGGCGGGAGGGAATGGAGGATGGCCAAGGAGTCCGGTGCGGGCAGTGCAGAACTGCAAGCCCCGTGCTGGCTCAGCAGTACCGTGCCCGAAGCATCTACCACGCAGACTCCCACAGTCGGGCAGATGGCGGGCAGTGATGGCAGCAGGGTTCTCAGCAGGGGCAGAGTCAGGGTGGAAGAGGCAGGGGTCCAGCCGCAGTTTGAGATGCCGGGAGAAGAGACAGAGGAGAAACAAGAACAGGAGCCTTGGCTGCAGCCCCAGATAACCGACCTCACCTCTGAGCCTCCATGTCCCTGTCCTGACATGCTGGCGAGAGTGTCCAGCTCTGGGAGGCCTCCATTGTGACTGTGTGACCTTGGGCAAACTGGGCCTGTCTGCATCTCAGTTTCCTCCTCCATTGAGTGAGGTTAACAAGAGTGATGGCCTCCAGGTTGGCCATCCAGACTGTGCGATTGTGCAGCCCTGGTCCATGAGAGATGCATGAGGGTGTCCTTGTGGGATCTCAGAGTTCATGGTAAAGGCCTTCTGGGGTCCTGCTTGAGTGACACCCCTCCCCCTGTCATTTCATCTCTCTGCCAAGAACTCTGGGAGGTGTGGACATGGGGTTCTCCCGCCTTCTTTTTTTTTGACACTTTGTTGTCTGGGCTGGAAGACGGAGGTGTGATCATAGCTCACTGCAGCCTCAAACTCCTGGGCTCAAGTGATCCTCCCATCTCAGCCTCCTGAGTAGCTGGGACTACAGGCGTGTACCACCACACCTAGCTAAGTTTTTTGATTTTTTTGTAGCGATAGAGTCTCTCTATGTTGCCCAGACTGGTCTTTACTCCTGGCCTCAAGTGAGGCTTCTGCCTCAGCCTTCCAGCGATGCTGGGATAACAGGTGTAAGCCACTGTGCCTGGCCTCCTCTACTATTTCAGAGAGGTAGAAACCAAAGAATAGAGATGTGAGTTTGGAATCAGCTTCCAGATTGGGTCTTGGTTCCTCCCCTCCCTCTTTACTTCCTCTCCTCCATTATTTGAGCGTCACGGGTGACAGGGGTGACCATGGGAGTCACCCTTCCCATTGTGTGGAGCTGACACGCCACTTGTGGGGAGAGGAACCTTACGCCAAGTGTATAAATGGATGGGTGAGTTTCAGGTAGGAGCAGTGTGGCACAGATATCCCGTAGGACTATGAGCGCGTGTAACTGGTGAGTGTAGCATGTGTTGAGAGGCTGGGTGGAGGAGGGACCCGGAGGCTGCTTCTAGGAGGGGCCCGGAGGCTGCTTCAGGGTGGTTAGGAAAAGGACTCTCCAAGTAGGTGCTGCCACCTGCAAAGCCAGGGGAGGGACATGACAGGTAGATGAGAGAGCAAGTGCAAAGGCCCTGAGGCTTGTGGAGGAAGCAGCAGTGGCCATTGTGGCTGCAGCGGGGAGACAGGCAGGTGTGTAGGGGAAGTTGAGGCAGGGGCTGGTGAGATTGTCCGGGCCTCCCTGGCTCCTATGCGGAATCTCCTGGAGGTGAGGCTAGAGGGAGGTGGCTTCCTCTCCAAGTGGTGCCTCCAGGCCTTGTTGTTTCACTGTCAACCCGAGAAGCCCGTGGTGATCTGGCTTTAGGAGCTGCCCCCATACTGTTTTGGGAGAAGGGGTGGGCTGTGAGTGCTCCGGAAAGCCAGGTGGGCTCCAGAGTCCTCCCAGGCCTCCCAGGTGGCAGAGCTGGACCTGCTGCCCCTTGGGCCCCAGCATCCCAGGCAGAGGGAACAGCAGGGACAAAGGTCCGGGGTGGGAGGGAGCTTGGAGCGTAGCTGCTGACCCGTCATAGCTGAGGGCGGCTGCTCTGGACGTGGCCTCTCTCGTGGCTACCTCCCCTGGTGGGGCTCTGAGCATGCTGGCCCTCCAGCCACTGGCTTGGGGCCCCCGGGGAAAAATGTGCCTTTCTCGAGTCAGCCCAGAGCAGGCAGTGCAGTGAACTGTTGAGGCCTGGGGCTGAGTCCTGCAGCCTCTCAAGAGCATCTGTGTCTCCTCTGGCCGGAAAATACCCTCTGTACCTGTGACCATTGACACGGAGGGACAGGCGGGCTCCCAGAACGTCTCACTTTTGGAGGCATTTCTGTGAGAGGAGATGGCTCCTGTGGCTTTCTGAATGGAGCAGAAGCTGGCTGACCTGGCCACAAGCTCCTAAAGGATCTGGCCCTACTGATAACCCCTTGAATCAATCAGCAAATGCTTGCTGAGCACTGACCCTAGGCCAAGCCCAGTCTCCAGCACTGAGGATGGAGCAGGGACACCTCAGCACGAGCTCCTGCGTGCCTGACCCAGCTCGTCCTCCCTTGCCAGTGCGCCTCCTGCTAGTTCCTCCTGTACTCTGAGCTCCCTCCTGCCCCTGGACCTTTGCCTGTGCTGTTCCCTCTGCCCGATGACTTCTCCCTGCTTCTCTTTCTCTCTCTCTCTCTCTTTCTGTCTGTCTGAATGTGCTGAGATTCTTTGGATTGCAAGCAACAGAAGCAAACTCTGACTGCTTTAAGGGGGATAAAAAGTGACTCATTGGAAGGGGGTGTGTGCTCACAGGGTCAGGGTGCCTGGGAGGCAGGCCTCAGAAAGAACTGGCACCAGGAACCTCTGAGAAGCTGGCACTGCCAAGGGCCCCATCTGAGGACACTACAGCTGGAAGGAGCAGCACCCCCTCTTCCTTGCCCTTGGGTTTCTAGGGCAGGAGCATCTTGTTGGCCTGCCAGTGATCACGTGTCCTCAGCCTGGCCCAGGAGGGCGCTGGGCCTTGACCAACTGCCCCACCTAGATGATGTGCAGCGTGGGAGAGGTAGCCCCGAAGGCAGAATGCTTAGGTGCCCAGCACATGTCCACACCCACTAATTCTTCAGGTTTCGGGTTGGATGTCGCTTCCTCCAGGAAGCCCTGAGGTGGCCAAGTCCCCCTGGCTCTGATTGTATCCGCTCGGAATGTTTTCAGTGGCAGGGGTGAGAACCCCACTGAGCAGTGGCTTAAGTAGATGCCGCCTGCCAGCAAGCTCGGAGCCCATGGCTGCTGGGTGGGTTTATGGGCTCATTAGGGTCAGTAGGGATCCGAGAATCTTCTGTCTTTCACTTGGCCATCCCCAAGCGTCTCAGGATCTGTGGTCTCGGTCACTGAGGGCACTGCAGCCCCAGGTATCACTTGTTCACATGGCTGTGTTCCAGGTGGGGAGGGTGGTGCTGCTTTCCCTTTTATCAGGAAGGAGGGTGTTTTGCAGAAGCCCCCAGGAGGCTCCCAGGTATCTCAGTGCCCGAGCTTGGCCAGTTAGAAATTGAACTTGAATTAAGTATTAGAGACACAACTGCAGAGGCTGAAACAAACTAGGGTTTGTGTTTCTGTGTCATGAGAGAAGCCCCAGAGGTGGGTGGCCTCCTGATGCTTTTGGGGGTCACATTCTCTGTGTCTTTCAGCTCTGCCTTCCTTAGTGTGTTGCCAACCTTGTTGGCACATGGTGGCCTAGGGTGATCACAGTTGTTCCTGCCATCACATGTTTGTTCCAGGCAGGAAGAAGAGAAAGAAAGGGCCAGGGACAAAGGGGGGATCTTCCAGGGTGTTTTACCAGTGATTTCTGCTTGTATCTCTGGGCTGCCTCTAGCTGCAAGGGAGGCTGGAAATGGAGGAGGGTTCCGTGACTATTGAGGGATTGGGAAAGGGTTGTTGCTAGGCAGCCAACATCATCTGCCTCTTAAGGTTTCCATTTGTCCTTTGTGCTTTTGATCTAAAATGATCTTGTTTGGAGTTTATTAATAATACCCACAGACACATTTGGGGAAACCGGAGTCAACAGACAGAAAACCCAACCCTCCTGGAGCCTGTCTCTCGGGATTGTCGTGGGCTTTTCTCTGGCCATGCTTGGCCTCTCGGATGCCAGCCCACCTAACGCTCTCCCCCCTTGTTCCCTTTCAGGGAGACTGCCAGACGCGGGAGGAGGCAGTGGCACTCGGCGTGGGCCTATGTAACAACGGCTTCATGCACCACGGTAAGTAGGCCCCGGGGCCTCACTTCCTGGACTGGCTGTCCAGGCACAGAGGAGCTGGTGGTTTACAGGGATGCAGAGACTGAAGCCAGACTGGTGGCTCTGTAGACAGTGGGGTTTGGGGACAATCCATGAAGCCCAGCCCTCTCTCCTCCCCATTTTGTCCCAGTTGAGAAGCCATTTCAGGTGTCCAAGGGGACGGACCCTCACGGCTAGTCAACCTCGGTGGAAAAACACAGTCCAGCTTTGAAGTCCAGCCCCTGGGTTTCTCGTACCCGCCTTCCAGGGCGGGCAGCAGGCCGGGTGGGGCAGGCCTGGCCTGAGGCCCTCGCAGGGAGGGATGCAACCCCTGGGGACAGCGGGCAGGTGGGGTGGGACTATGAGAGGCAGGAAGCCCTTCCTGGGCCATTTGTGTCTCTTTTCCCGGCCTTACTCCTCAGGTTAGTTGCTTTTCTTCCCACAGGGAGAAGGGCAAGTGTGAGGGAGAGAGGGGTGTGGTCCTGAGATGTCCCTGTGGGAGAAGCTGGGAAGTAGAAAAGGGTCCTGCTGCCAGCAGCTGAAGTGACATAAAAGCGAACGCTCCATGTGCCTGGGCACTCTTGAGGCACTTCCCGTGCGCTTATTAGTTGAATACTTTCAGCAGTCCTGTGATGCTGGTATCGATATCATCCCCCTTTCACAGATGAGAGAACAGAAGTTCAAGTAGTCAAGAAACTGACTCAAGGTCATATGGCAAGCAGGATCCAGGAGCGGGGGCCAGGCAGGCTGGAACTGGGATTAGAACCCAGGCAAGCTGGAGGTGGGAGGGGGACCAGGTGGGCTGCCCTTGCAGGCCACACTCAACCACCGAGCTCTGCACCGCCGCCTCTCCCGTCGCTCGACCTGGGGAAGCCCTGGGTCTGCTGAGCTTTTAGGTAAACTTTTAATCCCTGCCAAGGAGCCTTTTCCCTGTTTCTGGAGCATTCCTCAGGGCCTTTGCCTCACGAGGGGCGCCCTCCCTGCCTCACCATTACATGGGTTGAGTGTTTCTGCTGTCAACCCCTCCCCAGCACCCGCCCCACCCTTCGTCACTGTGCTCCTAGCTCAGACTCACTCTTTTTAAGGGAGCGGCTCTCCCCTGTTGGGCAGTCCCACCCATGCTTTTCGTCTTTGTTTGTTCGGTATTATGTGGTGGGTGTCGTTTGTGTGCCAGGCACCATGCTAGGTTCCAGGGACAGAGCGGTGACCAGGACAGATAACAGTCCCGCCCTCGGGCACTCACAGCCAGACAGAAACCCAGCGGCAACTTTCTAGAGTATCCAAGGGCACGGCCTGATGGCCTGTGAGATGGCTGAGTGATGTGGGAGTCCTGGGGAGATCCTGAGCAGAGAAGAATACGACTGACTTGGGTGTTTACAAGATCCCTCTGGCTGCCTGTGGAGAACATTCCAGGCGGGTGAGAGGAAGCGGAGAGGCCAGTGCAGAGGTGGCCATGATGGCCCAGAGGAGGGGCAGTGTGGCTGGGGCCCGGTGGTGGCTGTGGAGGGGTGAGAAGTGGCCAGACTCAGGAGCCCCTGAGCCATGGAAGGTCTCTTGGTTGTTTCTCCTTTCAGGTCTCTGCCTTTTCTGTTCTGACTCAGAGGTCTGCAAAACTTTCTCTGGAAGAGATTAAATAGCAAATATTTTGGGCTTTACAATCTCTGTCACGGCTGCTTAACTCTGCCTTGGTGGCACAAAGGCAGCGGCAGGTAGTATGTAAATAAGGCTGTGTGCCAATAAAACTTTATTTAGAAAAGCAGGAAGTGACTCTAGTTTCTCCACTCCTGGTGTGACTGCAGGATTGCTGTCACCTTGGCACTGTGAGTGACGTGCTGGTGAGTTGGGAGGCCAGCGGGTCCCTCCCCTGCCTTGTAGCTCGTTCTAACCCCCACTGAACTGACTCCCAGTAGGCCGTGTTCCTCTCTGTACCTCAGTTTCCCCAGTTTTCCGCTGGATCCCCTGCTGTGCCCTCCCTCTCTGAGCTCAGCACGCCTATGGTTCTGAGGGAATGGGACTCACTCCCCAGCCTCCTGTGTCCCCAGCTGAGGTGGCAGGTCAGGCCCAGTGAGGGTGGCCTGGGCTGGTTCTCCCTTCTGCCAAGAGTCCCTCATTCCCAGAAGCCACTCTCTTCCCTCCGGGCCCTCCGACAGCTCCAGCCCTCCTGTCAGCCAGCTGGGCGGAACCTCTCATTTGTGGGTGAAGGTAATTAGGGGTCCTCCCCAGCTGCTATTCCGGGAAGGCTGCTGGCTGAGGATGTCCCGTAGAGGTGACACCCAGGCAGTCCTGATGCCCTTGGGCCTCTTAGGCAGAGAAATTGCAGGGCGCGGCCCTGTTCCCCTGTTCCCTGCCATGGACTCAAAAATAGGCCCAGACGGGAAGGGACCAATCCTAAACTATGTGGCAGCAGCAAAGTGCCGTGAGGGGAAGCCTCCGTGGCACCTTTCACGGTCCCTTCTGCTGCGTCTGAACTGAGACTTCAGGCCTGAGGGGTCTTGATGCGTATATGGGAAAACTGAGGCTTGCCGGTTAGTCCCCGCAGCAGATTGGTGCTATTACTACCTTTGCGATGAGGAAACTGAAGCTCAGAGAGGCTAATGGGGCCGTGAAATCAGTAGCAATGGAGCAGGGATTTGAACCTGGGTCTGAGCGTATCCTGTGAACCCCGACTGGCAGCCTCGGCTGAGAGATGTCGACACTGGCACCTCACCTCGCTGGGCTTGTGGACTTGAGGGTGTCCACATGTGTTTTCCACAGACATTTTGGCCAAGACACAGCATTGCAATTCTTCCTCCCACTCTGGAATCTTTTAGCTTAATGTTTACAGTGGAGGCGAAGCCAGTCGGCCACCCCCCAGGGCCTGGCTCCCTAGCTCCGGGAAAAGCAGTAATTTGTGTGTCTGTTTTCTCAGTAATGGGTAGCCTGAGATAGACGCTCCCAGGCAGGTAGAGTTCCAGTGATAGGTCACGCACACCAAGGAGAAAGGAGATGCCACTGCTGCTTCCCACGGAGTCACCAAGTCAAGAGAAAGCCTCTGTCTTCAGGGCCTCAGGGATGGCTCACGGCTGAGGTGGCGGGTGTTCCTTGTTTCGGGGGTCCGCTGACCCAGACTACTGCCTTTACCGCACCTGGCCTCAATGTCCCCTTTTGTGTGCTGGTTACACTCAGCCCTGCCTCGTCTACGGGGCCTGACTGGGCAGCTTGGGGAGAGGAGCCTAGATGGATGCCTGCTGGATCTGTGACCCTGGCGGTTTGTTTAGCTCCTCTGGGCTTCAGTCTCCCCATCTGTAAAAGGGACACAGCAGATCCTTCCTTGTCCAAGTCATCAGAGAATTTAAGCATGCATCCCCAGTGTGCCTGGCTCCAGTAGATGCCTAGTTAAACTGTCAGCGCAGGGATCAGATCACATATTGGTGTTGCTGGTTATTTTTATTCATTTTCCTGTCTCGTCCTAGAAAGGGTCAGCATACTTTTTCTGTAAAGGGCCAAATGGTAAACATTTAGGCTTTGTGGGTCACACGGTCTCTGTCACAGTATTCATCTTTGGTCATTGTGGCTTAAAGACAACCGTAGACAATATATACACAAATGACCATGGCTGTGTTCCAGCAAAGTTTTATTTATAAGAACGTGTAGAGGGCTGGCTTTGACCTTGACTTGCTGGTCCCTGGCCTACAGGATCTTGTCTTGGTTTGTCACTGCTGAGCTGGGCTCTTTCTCATGTGTGCTGCCCACTCAGGCTGGCCTGTGTTGACCGCCTGCATATCCTTTCCCAGAAAAACTAATTTAATCCATGGGTTTCCCCACTTTGCTGGTTGATTTGTTAGAGGTCTTGGTAGATTCCTGATGTTTACTCCCTGTTGGTTTTGGCTCCTGAAGTTATCTTTGAATCTGCCACCCGCCTGTGGAGCTGCTATAAGTTGAAGTCCTTAATTTTAGTCTAATACAGGAGGGTCTTGTACATGGACTCCTTTTCTACCCTGGGACAAAGATATTCTCTCACATTTTGTTGTGTTTGCTTTAGTTTTGCTGCTCGTGTTTTGCTCTTATTCTATCAGGAATTTATTATTGTATATGGTGTAAGGTAGGGATCTGATCCCCCTCCCCGCCCCAAGTTGGCCACTTTTCCCCACACCATCTAAGAACACTCTGTGTGATCATTTATCACCTCTCATCTACTAAGTTCTTGTAAACAAGTAGTCTTCTTAAGTGATTTCTGTTCCTTTCCACTGGTTGTGCTCTAGGTCTGCTCCAGTTCCATGTAGTTTTTGTTATTATGGCTTTGTAATATATCCTAATAGCAGATGGAACAAGTTCAGAGTCTTCAAGAGAAGTCAGAAAGCCAGATCTTTATGTGAAGTGGCCTAACATGTTAGTGTGGGCGCGTGATCCCGTTTTCATAGACTTCTGTGTTGGCCAAACCAAGTGTGTCTGGGGGCCAGTGCCAGCCCATGGCTGCCAGTTGGCGTTTGTGGCTGGAACCCACACATGTGCGTCTGACAGTGTGTGCACGCGCATCTGGGTTTGCAGTGCTGGAGAAGAGTGAGTTCAAGGACGAGTCCCAGTACTTCCGCTTCCACGCCGATGAGGAGATGGAGGGGACCAGCAGCAAGAACAGGCAGCTGCGCAATGACTTCAAGCTGGTGGAGAACATTCTGGCCAAGCGCCTGCTGGTAGGAGCGGAGATGCCCACCCTCTTCCCAGAGGCCCCCCCCAGGCTGGGCGTGGTGACCCTCCAAGTGTGGATGGACAGAGAAAGGGGCTCCACTTGGATGGGCATCAAGATGGAAGAGGCTGGACCTGTGGGCTGCCCTCCCTCCCTTCCACCCCCTCTGCCCTCCCTGCGTGCCCATCCTGGCACCCTGTGGGAGGTGGGAGGCCGGTCTCCTGAATGGCTCATCCTGTACCCCGTAGCCTCAGGTTCGACAGACTGGCATCCTGTCCCATTGCCATCGGTGTCCTGCAGTTACGGGGGCACCGAGCAGCCTGTTCAGGCACTTGGCCAGCCTAGCGCGCCGAGTCCTCTGCCTGCTGAGCAACAGCCCCTATCAGTTGACCCATGGCAGGCAGGCCGGCAGGCAGGGTGGACTCAGGTCTGGTCTCTTGCCTGCACCCGGCTTGGAGCCCAAGGGTGACTGATGTGAAGACGGCCCCGTTTGCTTCTCTCGCCTGGCACCTGCTGGGCTGCTGCCCCCTATGATTTCATTTCTCTCCCCAACAAACCCTCCAATGCTTCCCATCACTCTTAGGATAAAATCCAGACCCCCACCTTCAAAGCCCACTGTGCTCTCCCTCCTCACTCCACCCCAGCCACCCTGATCTCTTGTCTCCAGTGCCTTGAGGCCTACCTCAGGACCTTTGTACGTGCTGTGCCCGCTGCCTGGAGCGCTTTCCTCCGCTCTGTGTGAAGTTCTGCTTCTCATTTCGTTCAGGTCCCAGTTCAGATGCCACCTCCTCTGCCCTCTGCTGTGCCCAGTCCCCTTAAATGTTTTATTTTAATTCAGACTATGTGTAGTTTGAATTAAGATTCAAACCGCATCACAGTCCGTGTTTGTTTACAGTCTGTTTCCCCCACTAAACAGCAGCTGCCTGAGGGCAGGGACTGTTTTTCTTGTTTAGGGTTGTCTCCAGCACCCAGTAGACTACTTGGCTCACATAATAGGCAGCAGCTCAGTCAAGGCTGTTGATTGAATAAATGCATGTCCTTGTCCCCCTCCCCTCACAGAACCCCAAACCTTCTTCCCATGTCTTTGCCATCCGCCCGGGGAAGGGATTGCTCTTCCCTCAACTCCCTCCCTGGCTCCACGTTCGTGGGGGCTGGACACTTAGGGTCTCTCTCATTAGTGAAGCCAGTGAGATGCGAAGCAAGCACCTGCTGTGTTCTAGTTGCTCTTTTCTCCCTTGCCAGCCTGAGTCTGGCCACTTCCCTGCGGGTCCCCATCTGCACCCCACCCATACCCCACCCCTGCTGGACCTGGGACACCAGGGGCGGGTGGGTCATGGTCCCGTGAGGGCCGCGGCGCAGCTGTCTCCGGGCCGGCCTCCCTGCCTGAGCGGGTCTCTTCTGCCCTGGCCCTCAGATCCTGCCCCAGGAGGAAGACTACGGCTTCGACATCGAGGAGAAGAACAAGGCTGTGGTGGTGAAGTCGGTGCAGAGGGGCTCGCTGGCCGAGGTGGGTGTCCCGGTGTGTGTGGTGGCAGAGTGGGGCGTCCCTGTCTGCCTTCTTTGGGGCAGCCCAGCCCAGCAACAGCTGGTTCCTTCTCGCTCACTGCCCCTGTGGAGAAACTGAGGCCAGGACCCCCTTGTCTGCTGAGGCTTGGGGAGTTGGGCTGGAACTCGGCTGCATGAGACTGTCGGCCCAGCGTGTTTCCCGGGCGCCCTCTGCTGGGCCCTGTGGGGAATACAGGAAAAGAGCCGCCAGTTTCTCTGTGTTTTCTGAATAACTGTGATAACGGACAAAACAAATTGCAGCAACTCGAATAAGACAAGTTTATCGCTGTCTCATGGACACCATGTCTGCAAGGGGACAGGCGAGGGGAGTGAGTGTTGACAGGCCGGGGATTCAGGCCCGAGGCCTTTCAGCCTTGGGGGGCTGTAGGGGTGGGGAGATGCCTGCCTGTCCTGAGCCCGTCCTGGCAGTTAGGGGTGTGTTGGGCTGCAGGCTGCAGGGTGTGTCGGGCTGCAGGTAGCCACGTTCTTGATCCCCGGGGCTGGAGCTCTTGGGCTGGATTTTTCCAGTGACGTGAATGACTGCGAGGCAGGGTTGCGAGTCCTGGTTCAGGATGGCGTGTCTTTGACACTCTTGACCCAGCCCTCACGGTCATGAGGTGGGTCACAGGTGGCCGCCGGGTGTGACGCTTGTCCACATACAGCAGTGTCAGGCTACAGCGGTGCCTCCCCGAGGAGAACCATCTTTCCCATCAGCCCCTCCCTCTGGCCTCCCTTCGAGGCTCATTGGCCGGGCCAGGTTTCCCTTGCCCTGAACTACTCACCACAGAGGAGCTGGGCCCGCCCGGTGGGCTTAGCCGGGTCCTGCCTGATCCCTGGGCCGGCTTGTGCTGCAGGGGCGCGTGTGAGCTACCCGGGTGAGGAGGGAGGGAGGGAGGATGGTGACCACGTGACTCTCCCCATGGCCCCCAAGATGGCCGGCCTGCAGACAGGGAGGAAGATCTACTCCATCAACGAGGACCTGGTGTTCCTGCGGCCCTTCTCCGAGGTGGAGTCCATCCTCAACCAGTCCTTCTGCTCCCGCCGCCCGCTGCGCCTCCTGGTGGCCACCAAGGCCAAAGAGTAAGTGTCCGGGGCAGGGCGCCCGGCAGACCTTCCTCTCATGCTGGGGGGTTGCCGAGGCCGGGGGGCACTGGGGGCATGGACCGTCCAGGGCCCACACAGGGGGGCCCGTTGGAGGCCTGTGCCACACAGCTGCCACCTTTACCTGCCCCACTCTGTACTGAAGGGCCATACTGACTCTGGGCCTCTGGCCCGGTGAGGATGATTGCGGGTCCTGCCCTTGCTGTATCTCGCCTAGTGGGAGTGGGTGGCTGGAGCCAAGGGCCAAGTGCGCAGGAGGGAAGTGAGACCCACTGCGCCCGTGGTAGTGAGCGTGGTGCAGAGAGAGATACATATAAGCCTGGGAAAGGGGTCAGGGGTGTAGAGGATGGTGGTCAGGGAGATGTCCCTGCGAGGTGGGGTGAAGACCTGAAGGAGATGGGGGGTATGGAGAGCTTCTGGAGGAAGAGGATTCTAGGCAGGGACATAGCCAGTGCAAAGGCCCTGGGGTGAGGCCGTGTCTGGTGATTCCGAGAAGCAGGGAGGAGGCTGATGCGAGTGGTGAGTGAGGGGGTGGGCAAGGAACAAGGCAGCAGGGCCCCGGCCCTGGCAGACCTTGTGCCCCTGGCGAGGCCCACGGAAAGCCACCAAAGGTGCTGACAGAATCCCTCTGGCTGCAAGTGGAGTCCAGGGTGTCAGGCGCAGGGAGAGGTGAGGAGGCTGCAGCTTGGCCCGTGTGCTAGCGGTGTGAGGGGGAGGGCACAGGGAAGCAGGAAGCATTTTCTGTTTTAAAAATTACGTATAGGTTTTTTTGCTTCTGTCTTTTTATTTTGAGTTGAGGTCTCACTCTGTTGCCCATGTGGAGTGCCATGGCACCATCACGGCTCACTGCAGCCTCAACCTCCAGGGCTCAGGCAATCTTCCTGCCTCAGCCTTCTGAGTAACTGGGGCTACAGGCACGCACCGCCACACCCGGCTAGTTTTCTTCTTTTTTTGTAGAGACTAGGTCTTGTTATGTTGCCCAGGCTGGTCTAGAACTCCTGGGATCAAGCAATCCTCTTGCCTCAGCTTCCCAGAGTGGTGGGATTACAGGTATGAGCCACCATGCTCAGCCTGCTTCTCCTTTTTATTTAAGGCAGATCTTGCATTGACGGGAGTCAGGGAAAGTTTTAAGTACAATTGTTTCAGTAGAAAGATGCTGATGTAGGGAAAACATGGTTGATAGTTGGGTTGGGATGTGAGAGTGGCAAGAATTACCAGGGTGGAACAGAAACACCTGGGGACTGAGAATGGGCTCCCAGGATGGCTTCACCTGGCAGGTGGGCGTAAGAGGGATGACCATGCAGGGCCGGGCAGGGCACGCCCTGGACAGGGAGTCGGATGGCGCACTAGAGTGCTGGGGCAGTGCCCTGCGCTGCACCGTGCCAGCAGTGCTGCCCTCTGCTTTGACCCTGCACACAAAATGGCCACGATCTGTCTTCTTTCTTTTTTTTTTTTTGAGTTGGAGTCTCACTCTGTCGCCCAGACTGGAGTGCAGTGGCCGCTCCCGGCCACCGCAGCCTCCACCTGCTGGGCTCCGGCGATCCTTCTGCCTCAGCCTTCTGAGTAGCTGGAACTGCAGGTGTGCGCTACCATGCCCAGCTAATTTTTTTGATTTATTGT